CCCGCCTGGCAGCTGCGCTCCGGGTCGGGCACCGCGGGCCCGGGCTGCCGGTCGGCACTGGGGGCTCGTGGGGAGCGATGGGCAGTGCGGGGCGGCAGCACCCGGGTTCAGGGCCGCCTGGGGGTGGGGGGCACTAGGGAGCCCGGCTGATGCCTGCAGCTTCTGGCACCCGCGTGTGCGTGTCAGGCTGACCCAGGGCTGGGGCCTGCTTGCGTCGTTCTGTGACATCACCGCCGCGTTATTATCTGGGACGTGCCCGAGGGGGAGGGTGCAGGGGGGCACACAGACCCTGGCCCCATCCGGCTGCAGGCGCTCCAGGGTCAGGGGTCACCAGGCCCTGCCCGCGTGCCGTCTGGATTCACTGCCCAGACCCCGGCGTGGGCTGAACTCGGGAACGTGTGTGAGCAGCACCTGGCACTGTCCTGCGCCGGGCTGCGGGGCAGCGTCTCCTGGCAGCGCCGCCCGGCCCGGCTGGTACATGGTGTTTGCGCTGCGGGGCCACCGCCCAGCTGGGAAGTGCCGCAGCTGCGCCGGGGCCGGCCCAGCCCCATGCCGCCTGGCACACGGCGCGCCTCCCCTGGTGCACGGACCGCCCCCCCGTACCCTGTCTCACCCCAAGGGCACGTCCTCATGGTATCCCTGCACACATGGGCACGTGTGCCTTTGCATGTGTGCGCACACGTGTCTGCCTGTGGTCACATATGTGGTCACAAACACATGAAGGCACATGCAGTCACATGCCGCAGATGCACCTGACGCTCCCATGCACGCGCACACACACACGCACACACGTGGGGAGGGCACAAGCATGGGAGGACAGGCACTGGGGGGGGTGACAAGGGTCCCAAGGGAGGGGGGCACCAGGAGCAGGATGCAGGCAGGGGACGGCAAGTGGGGGCGGAAGCTGCAGGGGGGCAGGAGGGGGCAGAGCTGCTGGGGGGGGCAGAGAAGCGGTTGCCTAGTGACTGTTGTGCTGGTTCCCTAGCAACTGTTGACAGAGCATGGGACGGGTTAACTCTTTCCCGACTCTCCGGTGCGCTTGGGTGGGCCACGGCCCGTCCTCCTCTGCCCCACCCCACCGGGAGCAGGGCCAGGGGTCAGGGGTCAGGCAGGCTGTGGGCGCCGGGGGGCGTGGGACGGTCACGGGTCTGCCACTCGAGGCGCTCGAGGCGCAGAGCGATCTTGAAGGCGCTGGACTCGAGCTCGGCCAGCAGCCGCGCCACCTTGGTCTGCAGGGCGTCGAGTGCGGCCTCCAGGGCCTGCGTCCGCGCCTCGGCTGCCTGCGCCCGCGCGATCTCGGCCGCCTCGGCGTTGACGTCCAGCTTGTTCAGCTTGAGCAGGATCTCGCGGCCCTTGACCTCCATCATGGCCTTAGCGCTGGGGAACTCGGCCAGCGTGGCCATCAGGTCCTCCTTGGACAGGCAGAACAGGTCCGAGTAGCCGATGCTCTTGATGTTCGCTGTGCGCCGGTTCCCTGACTTGTTACCTGTGGGGCGTGGGGGGCGCCTTGGATGGGGGCGCAGCGCTGCTGGGACCCCCCCGCCCCAGGCCGAGAGAGGCCAGGACGCACCCAGGGCAGGGAAAGCGTGTGAAAGGAGGAGCGAGGGGCACTGGCAGGGCCGGAGGGAGGGGGGTAGAGGGCTGTGGGCCAGGAGCGAGGGGCATCGACAAACTGGGGGGGCAGGGGGTAGTTACCTTTGATGTTGATGAGGCTGATCTCCCCGAAGTACAGCCCCTCGCCCAGCACGGCGTACTGCGTGACGCCGTCGTCGGCCACCACGGCCAGGCGCCCCTCACGGATGAAGTACATCTCCCGGCCGATGTCGCCCTTGCGGCACACGTACTCACCGGGGCTGTAGACCTGGGGCTGCAGCTTGAGCACCAGCTCCTCCAGCAGCGAGCGCTCGCAGCTCTGGAAGAGCTGCACCTTGCGCAGCGTGGCCAGGTGCACGCTCACCGCCACCTCAGCCCGCAGCCGCTCGGGCAGGTGCTGCAGGATGCGGCCCTCGTGCGTCAGCTTCTTCTCCAGGCGCAGGTGCTGGTGCCAGCGGCCCACGCGGCGCTCCAGGCGCCGGCCCACGCGGTGCAGCCGCAGGTAGTGCTTCACCAGGTCGTAGTTGGGGTAGAAGGCGGCGTCGGCGCTGCGCATGGTGGAGATGACCGAGCCGATGCTGCCCATGATGGTGGCGAAGCCCATGATGCCCAGCAGGAAGCCGGCGGCCATGAAGAGCATCTCGACGGGGCGCTGCGGCTCCGGCGTGTCGCCCACCGTGGTCAGCACCAGCGTGGAGAAGTAGAAGCTGTAGAGGTACTGGCGCCGCAGGCGGTCGAAGCCAGGCTGAGCGGCGCCGGGGCACACCCAGGTGTCGCTGCCGCGGCCCAGGAACTCGGACAGGGCGAAGTAGGCGCAGGCGTTCCAGTGGATGGTGACGAAGACGTAGAGCATCAGCTTGGCGATGCGGAAGGTGTGCGGGTGGCCCGTGCGCGTCTCTGTGCGGTCGAAGGCCTCCCACAGCCGCCCGACCCGCAGCAGCCGGTTGGCGCGCACGGCCGGCGCGCCCAGGCCCAGCCGCGCGTACAGCAGGTCGGTGGGCAGCGCCGAGGCCGCATCCCACAGAGCCTGGCGCGACCGGACGTAGCGCCGCGCGATGCGGCCCCGCGCACGCACCAGGATGCCGTCCTCCCGGAAGCCTGCAGGGCATGGGGGCGGCGTCGGCATGGACCCCACTGTCCACCCCGGCGCCCCCAGGAGACACCGCCCCGCCCCAGCACAGCCAGGCCCCGTGCCTGTGCTAGGAGCCAGGATGCCTGGGT